CCCCCCCCCCCCCCCCAATTCATGATGTAAAATGCTTGATCTTATTAAATGCGCTTCTTTCAAAGCATGAAACATATGCCACAAAGGAAACTAAAACAAAAAGAAAAACCACTATTGCAGAAGGGAGAATGGAGAGTATAAATATGAATGGAAACTAAAATGTTTAATGAGAAATAACTTACCACAATGCTACATTGCTAATCACATAAATGAATATTGTACATCACTCAAAAGAGTCGAGACCATACCAGTCGGTATGTTACATTATTAGCATAGCAGTGATCTGAATGATCTACAAACTGTTTTTATCATTTATCGTATATCGGTGATACGCCACACATATGCTCTTCTACTTCTCCAGACATTGCAAGAAATTCGTGAAGCTTTCATTAATGTTGATGCTCAGGTGCTTCTTAGATCTGGCTTCAAGCCGGCATTGGTACACTTGAGGATGAAATGAAACCATACATACCTGTACCTCTTTATGGTGTTTGGTTTGAGGGGTGGGAAAGCGCCCTCCACTTTCTCTCACGTCCCCTCCAGCCAAACATGCCCTTCATTAAAAGAACCAATGCTTGGCAGCAGCCTACAGACGAATAACTGAAGCGCCTGCTGAATCGGGATTTCCACGATAGTTAAGCTCAACAAAGAAACCGGCGCCTTCGCCTTTTGCCAGCCTTCCTGGATTCACGCAAATACATTTCACGTCTTCTTCTCCTCTTCCCTTGACAGACAGCACCTGTCCCATGACAGAACAATTCAGTTTTTTTTCTCACAACCCCAGAGATAGGTAGGATCAAGGAGGTGAAGATGATGATGAACAAATGTTGGCAAACAATCAAATGCTTTACAAAGGAAAAAAGCACATCCGAATGAATGATTCTAGTTTCTACAGTTCTGTTCTTTACTAACCCTCACAAAGTTAGTCAAATCTGATGGTAAAATTAGTATGTCTGGAATAGATGGTATCTGGAGAGCTTGTGATGCAATAGAGAAGTCCAAGGGAATGCCTTCAGCTGGTGGATATAAAGGATAGAAGCTGCACCACAGAAATATGAAAGAAATGTTTACTTAAAAAATTGTAAATAATATTGAAAGATTCCATTCTGTATATAACCCTGAACATGCCTGCGTTGGTTCAAAACATGACTGGCAAGGGTAGACATGCGCTGCTTGGCACCCCCTTGGGGGTTTCGTGAAATCTCCTCTGCGCTAAGTTGTTTTAAGATATCAACGGTGCAGCAAGCAACTTTAACCTATATGTATAACAGCATAGTAAAAACTGCCCATTCATCAAAGATGTATGTTCAAGGCGAAAATCATTGTTGCATAGTAGGTACCTCATTTGCACAAAATGTTCCTGGGTTTGAGATGCTGCGCAACTGCAATGCGGAAAATACAAACAAAAAAATACAGAACAAATTAGCTGATGATGCACTAAAATTAATGTACTATATGAAATCAACTCAAAAAGTGCACTGTGTTGGCCTGTTGGGTACCTGAAGTATACTATCAGCCTTGGGAATCTCAAAAGCTGGCTGTAATACAAAACACATACCATATTGAATATATATCTAAACTCTATCTATGTAACGGCCATTTATGAGTACAGCAAAATGTGAATGACCTGGGGAAAAACAAAGTCATGATGGGCATCACGAATAGATGGAACAAGGATCACTTGGACAGAGGAACCCATATATTCCACATAATCTTTTAACTGAAAAACACAACCAAAAAAATAAACACACACCTACACAATACAATGAAACTATCGTTGAATTCTATTGAGTGAATTTAAATACCCTTCCAACAATTTC